AAAATATTTAAGAGAAAAAGAGAGAAAAAAGTCATAGTTTTTCTCGTGGTCGTGATGCTGATTTTGTGGGAATAATGACGTCACATTGCGGTCGTGATGGATACCGACACGGTCGCGATAACGCGAGAAATCCTGAAACGTTTTGCATCTTTAAATAGAAAATATGGAGATCTTTTTTAGGGTTCTGAGTTTCATAGAGAAAATGACGGTTAAGGAGCTTTTGTGGATAATTTTGGAGAGCATTAGAGAGCATGTTTTCCATTGACTTTGATGTATACTTATTATCAACTCATGGTAATCATAAATTTCACGATGAGTAGCTAAGTTAGTTTATATTATGTCATTGGAGATGAACCTAATTGTACTCTATTGGATCATATGATTGTTTGATATAATTTGAATTCCTTAATGTTATAATCATTATTTAATTGTTCTTGTGTTCATTATTTTTTATGTTAACTACCGCGCAAATGGATATCGGATGATTAGAAATTATTTACCATAAGTCTACCAATCAGAATTAGGACAATCATTCAACTTAGTAATTTACTAGGAATGAGTGATTATAAGATATGACTTTTGAATTAACAAACTTAGAACGCCTGATTTAACTTTGAGTTAGCCTAATGAATTAGGGAATTATTGCGTAAATTAGTGAGTTGTACATCAAGGAATTATGTATAGTGGTCTAGTTAATTCGCCATGAGATTATAACTTAAGTGTAATTCATTTGATAACAACTCATCAACCAGTATAATTAGGGAATTCGATAAAAAGATTTAATCCCCTTTTCGCATCGAACATTACTCCGTTAATTTTCTTGTTCTTGTTTTCATACCAAATCGTAATTGAAAACCCATGTTTTTTAATTTAAATCGCAATGTTATTTCATTATTTTAATTCTCAATCCTTGTGAAAACAAATTATTTTATTACTTCAGCAAGACTAGTACACTTGCTAGAATTGTCCATAAGCTATCCTCTTTGGACCCAATAAGAGACACACATTTCCACCTAGAATAAGTAGAATGAAAACCTGATGTCTTTCCTTTCCAAGAGAGGAAACCACTGAAGTACCATACCTAGCAACCAAAATATCATACCAAAGGCCTGAAGCACCTATAAGCAACTTCCATTTCCACTTAGCCAAAATGACTAGATTAACCGTTCATAGATCCATAATACCTAAACCTATTTTTCTCTTATGTTTACAAATATTTTCCCATTTAACTCAGGAAATTTTAGATTCTCCCTTTCACCCTCCAGAGGAACCTTCTTTGTAACCAAACACGATTCTTCCAAAACTTTATAAGCATCTTCAAAAAAAGATAAGAAGAAGATGATAATAACATTAAGCACAAAGTTAAGGAGAACCACTCGACCACCCAATTTAACATATTTGTACTTCCAATAATGGAACCTTTTGGTCATCAAATCGACTAAAAGGCTCCAAGTAGATGGGAAACTAGCCCCTCAACCACAAGTAGTACAAAGAAAGGAGCTAGAGGGTCCACTTATTTCAAACCCCATTGAATCCAAATTTCATGGGTGGGGCACCTGTTAACCAGCGCTGTGAGATTACTTGAAAACAAACAAGCTCTCATCTAATACCTTTACTTCACATTAAACCCAAGCCTCATAAGCATATAATCAAGAAAACGTAAACCAACTGAGTCATGCATTTTTTAAATCCACCTAAAAAATAAGATATACTTTCTTAGATTTCTTAGCCAAACCTACCACCTCATTGATAGCCACCCCTCCATCAACCATAATTATTCCTTTTAGAAAAGCCAATTGATTAGGAAAAATAAGCTTATCCATTACCATCCCTATTCTAGTCGCTAACACTTTGACCACCGAATTATATAAACACCCCACAAAAGAACTCGGCCTAAAGTCACCCAATTGAGACGAAGACTTAACCTTATGGTTCAAAGTCACAAAATAGGATGTAGAACTATGAGGTAGAGATGCAAAATTATGCAACTGATCAAATATAATACCCATCTCTTCTCTTATTAAGCTCCAAAATCTTTTCAGGAAAGAGAAATTAAAACCATTAGGACCTGATATTTTATTGCTCTCACAATGAGACACAACAAGATTAACTTTTAAAGATTAAAATGTGTTGTCAGAGTAAAGTTATCTTCTTCTAAAAGAGAACGAAAAGCAACACCATCAAGACGGGGTATATATGTATTCAATTCTTTAAAAGAATATATAAATGTTTCACAACTTCTCTCCTAATATCAAACACCCCTTTTATCCAACCTTCTCCAACATTGAGAGGTAAGATAGAATTCCACACACCTTTAATCTTCACATGAACATGAAAAAAAAAAACCTGAATTAAGGTGATCCATCTCTTCTCTCACTAAGCTCCAAAATTTTTCAGGAAAGAGAAATTAAAACCATCAGGGTTTGGGCCTTTATTGCTTTCACAATAAGACCCAACAAGATTATCGCCTATAGATTAAAAGGTGTTGTTAGAGCAAAGTTACCCTATTCTGAAAGAGAACGAAAAGCAACACCATCAAGACAGAGTATATCAATATTCAATTCTTTAAAAAGATCTAAGAAATGTTTCATAACTTCTCTCCTAATATCATACCCCCTTTGATCAAACCTTCTCCAACATAGAGAGCTAAGATAGCATTCCACACACCCCTACTCTTCATATGAGCTTGAAAATTTCCTGAATTAGAGTCACCCTCTTTAAGCCACCTAAACCTCGATCTTTGGAACAATTGAAAGTCTTTAATCCTTAGTAAGGATCAAATAGACTCAATCGATCTATATCTAGTATGGATCTCCTCAACAGATAGGGACCTCATATTAGCCAGAGAATCTACTTTACTCACCACCTCTATTAAGGAGTCAAATTGATAATCAAGATTTCCAAACACCTATTTATTCCAAATAAGACCACTTTAAGAGCTTTTAGTTTCTCCAACAAAAAAAGGCTTTTCGACCATGAATCACATAATCAGTCCATGATGAATTAACTAACTTTGAAATTTTACTATGAGATAACCAATGATTATTAAATCTAAAAGACTTAAGACCCTACAACTAGTTTGCATACTTAAAGGTAATAGGATAGTACATCCTTAGGAAGGACTCACTGAGACATCTCCCCTAATGATCCCATCATCCATTAGACACTAGAACCTGACCAAGTCAAATGGCTGGACCATCATTGAGTTGAAACCAAGTGAAATATCTTCCTAGGAGAGGGAGCCACAAGCCCAAAAGAACTAGAAATCTCACACACTCATACTCTCTCACAGAAAGAGTGAATCGAGTTAAAATCACCCACACCAAATGTCACTGTCCAAATTAGCTTAACAAAGATCAACCCACATAGCTTTCTTAGCTTCCAAATCACACTTAGAGCAAATATTGACCACAAAGCAAACATAGGTAGAAGAACTATACTCCAGACAAACTCCAAAGAACTCAAGATCAAAGAAGGAGAACATGGATCTATCTTTTGAACTACACCAGATTGAAAAAAGACAATTACTTCTCCCTATAGAAAAAAATCCAATCACAAAATAAATTACCTCACAAAGAATAAACGAGAGAAGGATATACCTCACTAAGTTTAGTTGCTTGAATTGCATTAAAATCCATGTTTTTAGACATAATAAGATCCATAACTTTTCTTTTCTTAGTCCTACCTCCCAAACTCTACCGTTAAAAGGGAAAATTAACATCGACGAAAATTCATAGTTATTTAAACACGCTTCTGAATCATATCCTCTTTCATAAAGCCTTTAATTTCCCTACCTCTACCTCGTCACTCAACAAAAAAGTGAAACCGAGTTGCTTAAATAGCCCAAAGAGGATCAATCTCACTGTCCACTTGTGAGAACCTATTTAAAGACAGAGCAAAACTTTATATAAGACTAATCCAACACGGAAATTATTGACATGTAGCAGGATTCGAATCTAAAAACTTGTTAACATATTACAATATATATTCTCACCATGAAGGACTCTGAAGTTATCTTAACTTCATCGTACTAACCTTCACCTTTTTACAAGTTAACTTCACATTCACGTGCACACACATGCTATAGAAATTTGGTGCCCAAAAAATAGAATTCTGTGCGGATGCACCTCCCGTAAGCCCTCACAGTAACCCCTGGTGGTTGTAGTGTGGAGAAGTTGTTGACACAGACATTCGAAGCTTGGAGAAGAGGGTTTACATATGTTATTGTATGGTGAAAAATTTTCTACAAGTGTAGGGATGGGTTGTAACCATATTTGTGTAAATCAAGGTACATCATTGTGCATTCTCTCACCCTTTGTTTTTTTATGAACTTATTGCAGTAGCATTTTTTTATATAGATCAAATTTGTGAGCATTAGTGTGAATAGAAACAGGATATTATTTCTGTACTACCTTCTTTTTATCCAATTTTTATTTCGTTTTCATCAAAACATTTCAACTGTATTTGGACCTCTCATTTCTGCTTACATAGATGGACCATACAACAATCTGATGCAAACCCAAATCGCAGAATTAATAAATGGAAGAGAGAAGACCAATAATGAAAAACAAATAATGTATTAGTATATCTCAAAACCAAAGGAAAATACAGAAAAATGTTCATAGATCTAAACACCTTCAGAGAACCACTACTTCATGCCCTTAATAAACTGAATGATTATGTTATGTGCTTAACATCCATATAACATTTGCACAATTTACTTTTCCCACCTCGCAATTTGATCAATAAAACAAAATCACGTCTCATTCAAGGTCCTATCACCATGGCTCATTTATTTGAGCACTACATTACTAAACAATTATAACTTCAATAAATTTACTTAGTGTCTATGGATATGGCAAAAGATTGCAACCAAACCCAAATTTTGGCATTGTTTTTGATAAATTGCATCATGACCTATGCACAAGGATAAATAAATCAGATGCATGAATGAACAAAGCCTTAAAAAGTTCCTTACAATGGAAGCTGTGAGAAAACAATCACATAAAGGAGCGCATCCTAGGCCTAGTAATAGACTGTGCTCCATCAACAAATATAGTTGTTCCTGTCATGTAACACGACCCATCACTGATTAGATAGATGACTGTAGAAGCAAGATCATTCTTAACATCAAGCCATCTCTCAAGTGGTGCTGCCTCCTTCACTAACTTCTCTGCCCTTTCCCTTCCCACTGATAATGGGAATTCATCATCCAGGTGAAGGCCTCGTGCAATAGCGTTAACTCTGATCTGGTACTTCCCTATCTCCATAGCTGATGCCTGAAGAAAACAAGTTGATAAGACCCAACTTATATAGACAATAAATATGTTTGAATAAAAGATAATATTAAAGATCATCAGCCTTTCTAATATTTTCAAATATGAAATACATGTATAAGCTTTCTTGAATTGTTGTGCAATAGCCAATTTATAAGTTATATAATGCCATATAACATACCACATCGATACCAGCCATATAATTTTTATTTATCAGCTGTAAACGATCGAAGTTTGATTTAAAACGTCTCAACTGCTCAAATACTAATAGTGTTTTTTTTTTTCCTTTTGCTAAGGGAAAACTAATTAGATACCTTAATTGAACATGCAACACATCTTTTGTGCATCTTACCTCAGCCAAATTAAAGCCCATTCTTCCAATTCTAATCACATGCTTAGGATTTAATTTGATCACAATCTTGCCTTCTAATCCAATTACTGATGTACATAAATTTTATAAGTTTTAGAATAAAAGCAGCTCCCAATTTACAAACAGATTGAAAGAATAATACACACATTTGACACATAAAATAGATGTGGTGAAAGAAAGATAACTTTGACAATGGAGGAATAAGAATATTTATAAATAAGACAGAGAAGACAGAGAAGACAAGAAGGGGGTCAAAAGCTTTAAGAGTACTAAAATGTACTTCCCCTTTGGCAGGATGGGAGTGTTTTTTCTCCTTTTTTTATTTTTTTTATTTTTAATTGTGAAGTAGGAATTGCACCTTAACTATCGCTATTATTTGATCTCCTCATATGTTAGGAACATGGTGCAGTCAAGCCAACATTGAAGGGAGAAGTTGATAGTAAGTGTTTTCATTGATTAGTTGTAAATTGTAAATAACAATAGGGATGAGTTAGGGTAGAGAGTGGCAAACAGAAGTGGAAACTTCATAATAGAGGCATGAGTTCATCTTGTATGGAAACCAAGTGGGTTGTATGTGAGTTATCATTTGAAAAGATAGTTAGTTAGCAACCTTGCGAATGCAGTCGTCAACCCGAATCCTCTATACAGTTGGGCAATGGGTTCAAAAAGGAGGCACAGGACTGCTGCAAGGAGTCGGGTTTTCACTTTTCAGATGGCAAGTCATGAATTTAAAGGAGATTTCCCGGTTTGAACTTGGAGGAGTAGATGTAATTTTGGGGGTTGTTTGGCTGACATTTATGCCAGACTCCAGTGCATGTTATGATAAACTTCAGAAATCCATTCTCTAGAGTGTGGTGCACTTGGGAGGGCATAAGTGCGGTGCTATCACAGGACGAGAGGGAAGAGGCCTATTGCATTTTCAGCAAAGTTGTGAGAAGGTTCACTAAGAAAATCAGTCGATAAGGAGTTAATAGCTTTGGTACTAGCTTTCAACATTCCCCACTGTTAGACTCTAATAAAGGTATTAAGGAAAACTGACTATTCAGCTTTGTATCTGTTATTATATTAATAAGAGTAGTTTAGTGGCAATTATTATACTACTAGGAGTAGCTATGTCTTATTAATTATGTGGGTTATGCTTAGAATAAATAGTGGAAGATATGGGAGAGTTTACTATTGTGGAATTTGACAGGAAAAGGGTCATTTTGCCATTGAGGAGCAGACCCTCGAAGTTCTGCAACATTAAGTAGTTCAAAGGGATTTTCTCTACTTTCTTCTGGATCCAGAAAATGAAGAACAGGAAAACAGGTGCAGCAGCGCTGAGATTCAAGAAGAGAAGCAAGAAATAGTAGCATCTCAAAATAAAACGAAAACCATAAGTGAAGATGAAGATGAAATGACACCAATGAGTAAACACAATGAAAAAAGAAAGCAGAGATCTGAATATAGAACGAGAAAAAGGAAACTAAGAAATGCGGAACAGAGTCAGGAATGCAATGTGTGAAGACGGGATGTAAGTATAGCAAAAGAACAATCATGATGAAGGAAAATTTTGAAGCAAAACAGAAACTCAAAAGCTTTCAACAGTGGGAACCAAATAGATGCAATTCACCACCATACCAACTAAGGGCTGCCTTATTTTGGAATTGTAAAGGGGCACTTAAGTATGTTTTGGTGGAGACATACCATACTATTACCATACTCTGTTTTTGGATCAAACATACCACCCAAATCAGAGTGTATGATCCAAGCTTGGGTTCAGACTTTGCTCTGTTACTCCACTTCAAGTTATGGGATCCGAGAGGATTCAGTTTTCTAATACATATTTCTTTCACCTTGAGGACAAGGTGAATCTTTAGGGGGAGTATTGTTAGATTCTTATAAAGGAATTAAGAAAAACTGACTATTCAGTTTATCAACTCTTAATATTATATTATTAAGAGTAGTTTAGTGGAACTTATTATATTATTAGGAGTAGTTATGTGTTATTAATTATGTGTTTTATGTTTAGAATAAATAGGGCAAGATACGGGAGAGTTTACTATTGTAGAATATGACAGGAAAAGGGACATTTTGGCATTATGGAGGGAGGTGCATGCCCCTAAATTAGAGAAAAAGTATTGAGTATGAAAAGAAAGAATAGTTCATAATAGAGATAAGTGTTCATTTTGTATAGTAACTGAGATGGTTGCAAGGGAGTTAGCTCTTGTGAATGTAATTAGCCACCTGACTTATCAACCTAAAGATTTGTTATTACATCTGTTCTCCTCAGAATTCTTTTCGATCCAATATTGATTCCTTTTACCAGTTCCCCATTGACCCTAAATACTATCAGTCACCTATCATCATCCTTTGCATGATTCTTATTTTGATTGCTCATTTTCTAGCATGCAGCAAAAGCATACAATATCCACTCAGACAAAAAAATATCAAATATATTCTAAACAAAGCTATTTTCAGAAAAAGTCGGACAAAAAGATGATCTTCGATGACAGTCAAACAAATATGTAATGCAAAACCACAAAACTTCATTTCACAAGAACATTGTATACAAGAACCACCAAGTCATGAAAATCTTCCTTCTTATTTAGAGACTTATGGCATAATAAAAATAAAAGGATAGATCAAATTTGAAAGGCTGATTTTCATATAAATGATTTGACTATATCATAATAATCTTATTTGCAAAAAAGAAATAAAGTTAAAATAAAAGTTTTTTTTATAGATGTTCTCATACCCGAACTAACTGTTGAACTCCAGCCAGGGCTGAGGCATATGCAGCAGCTCCTGGATAAAGCCCTCTTTCAGAACCCATTATCGATGTTAAAAATACAATGGACCCTCCAGTGTTGAAGTTACGCATCCTTTGGCCAACAGCCTTTAACAAAAACCACGGAGCCATAAAATTTATCCTAACAATTTTTTTGTACTCGCTCTCAGCTAACTCGAGATGATCTTGCACCTTTCCTGTTTCAAATGAACAAATCCCCAATTCATTCAGCTAATAGGTTAACACGCACAAAATAGGCCAACACTAGCAACATGTAAGAAAAAAAAAATCATAGTCTACATATTAAGTCCCTAAATGGTCTAGTATTTTGGTATCAGCCTCTTGATAATGAAAACTATGCTAAAGTCACTAATTGATATTTGCTTCACCTAAGCATTCCTGAATGTACATACAATAGTAATACTAGCCTCAGAAAACCTTATTGAGGATAAATAAAATGCCTAACATGTTGACAGGACTAAGAGCTTTTGGTTGAGCATTTGCTATACAAGGTTTTCAACAAAATTGATTTGATTAAAATAGAATTTGAAGCGAACTGATTTATGTTCAAATGTCGTTGCTCTTTTTTTGCTCTTAACCCTCTGGTTCCTAGGAGAAATACATCTGATAGTTTAGAGTTTGACTGAAAAGTAAGTAAAGACTAACCAAAGATTGTTTAAATCAGGGTTCAAACTAGATACTCTTGATCGATTGGACCTTCATTGAAGCTCATTAACTACTTCAATCTAACCATATGGTTAAATGCAAGTTTGATCTAAAACCTAGTATCAACCTAATTCAAAAACTAATTTTTAACATCACAGTCATGTTATAGTGGAACCAAATATGATTTTGAAGGGTTACACAAATCCAAACAAGCCATATTATCACAAACTTGATAAGTTGAGTTTCCCAAGTAAAATCACTTTTACCTTCAAACTTCAATTTAACTCAAAAATGACAAAATTCAACTTCCACCAACAAAACTCAAATTCAAATAAAACAACATTTTACCTTCATAAGAGTAACAGTTAACAAAGGCATCCAATTTGCCCAAAATCTTACAAGCCTTATCAACAGCATGATGAAAAACCGATTCATCATCATTCTCGAAATCCAATTCAACCACATGCACAGAAACAGAACCAGTAACCGAATCCGTTATTTTTCGTGCAACACACTCTAAACTAGTTGCGTTTCCCATCAAAACCAATCTGAATAAAAAAATGAACAAATAATTGAATTGAAGAATAAATAAATAAAAAATTGAGAAATTGAGTTACGAAATTGACCTGCATCCTTGTTTGGCTAAATGGAAAGCAATGCCGTGGGAAATATCGTCGGCGTTAGAGGTAAGCAATACTCTCTTACTTGAATTCGCCATTTTTTGTTTCAGTTTCTTTCAACGCTTGTTGAATACTTAAACATTCAACGTTCGTTCAATTCATCGTGGAACACGTTCGTTTATGTATAATGTATATTCGTGAAAAGCGTTCTTGTTTGGATACAATAAAATTATTATTATTATTTTATTTGGTAAAGTTTGGGGAACATGCACAGTTCACACAGTTTAAAGGTGTAGGTTGGATTGGAAAGTGTGATTCAATTCAACGCAGCTTATATAGGTCAAGAAAGACTTGCATTAATTGTTTGGCTTTAAAAAAGGAAAATATTGAAAATTATTAAAACAAGAGATATCACAATAAAATACATTAAATATTATTTATATTAATCTCTAAATTATCATGATATTTTTAAATTAATTATTTGATATGGTTGATTGATGATTTCTTAAGGAATACCTTTAATCTTATACTATTATTCATGTTTGAATTGTGTGAGTTTATTATTATGGTGATTTAAAGATAAGAAATAGTTTTAAATTTTTTTTATCAAATTTTATATTTAATAAAATAAATAATATTAATTTTTTCATATATTTTTAAGAGTTTAATTAAAATACAGTGTAAAAGAATTTTACACTGTCAGTTAATCATAATTATTGGATGTTCAGAAGAGTTTGACTTTTATTTTAATTACTTATGAAGTAAGGCAAACAGATGATGGTGATAAATCGATGATGTAAAACTTTTTACACTAATAGTACATAATAATTAATCTCAATATCTAAACCGTGAATCATATAAAAAAAATACTAAAAAGTTAATTATATGCCTTTTTTTCCTTCTAAATTTAGATTAGTTAAGTTTTTAAATTCGCTAAAGTTTAAATAAGGAAAACAATAATTATATTTTTAAAGTTCTAACATGTAATTGTGAATAAATTATATTCTTAAAATAGTGTAATTGTGAATAATTATATTCTTAAAATAGTTCACACAGTTCTTTGTTAAAAAATAATATTAAATCATTGTTATGGTATAATACATGTATTTGTTAATAATACATATTAAGATCTCATTCTCACCTAAAATAAAATTGGTGATGTGACCTCATTTTAGAATTTAGAAAAGAAAACGTTAATTTGATTTTTTATAGATAAAAGTAGGGCTGGAAATGAGTCGAGTCGAGTCGAACTCACCTCAGCTCAGCTCGACTCGTTAAAAATTGTTCGAATTCGAGTTCGAGTTCGAGTTCGACACGAACTTTTTTTAAGCTCAAACTCGACTCGTTATAAGTTCACGAACAGTTCGATTCGACTCGTTAGGTTCATCTCATTAGGTTCAGCTCACATGGTTCACGAACTTAAAAACTATTTTTTAAAATATATATATTTTTTAGTATATTTGACATTTTAAATAAATATATATTTTTTAAATAAAATATTAAAATAAAATAAAAGTTATCATATTGATATTTAACTTTATCTTCGAAATCTACTAATTCAAAACCTACACAACTTTCAAGAGATACATTTGAGAGTCTAACTCAAAAACTACTAAATTGAAGATTAAATTTGTCTAAGATTTGAAGTAAATATTTAAACCTAATCTTAAAGACAGTATAATTCTTTTCATATGTAATCGAGTTGACTCATGAACCTAACGAGTCGAACTATGTATAGTTCAAGTTCAGCTCATTTAGTTAACGAACTTAATTTTTCGCTCATACTCAACTCATTTGGTTCATGAACCTAGTTCAACGATTTAATTGTCGAGTCGAATTCCGAACTATCTTCGAGTTGGTTTGGTTCATTGTCAGCCCTAGATAAAAGTAATACGATAATTATTTTAAAAAAAATATTACAGCAAAATACATATACTAATATATCAATATTTATTTTTTGAAGGATAAATATGCTAGAAAACCTATTAATAAAATATATATTTGCATGAGTATAATGGACATTTCTTTGCTTATGATGAACTGCACAAGAGAGTTTTATGTCTTATGATATATAAAAAAGTGAGGTTCAATATTTGATCCAGGAACAGGAACCGTTGCAATTGCAAAGACTAAATATGGTGTTTATGAATTTGACCACGTGTCTTTTGGCTTTGACTTGATAATAAGGGTGAATGGAGTGAGTTATCCATCATAATAGAAAGTGTGGTTAACCTATGAAGGGCGACATTTGCCTCATGAATGCTGTGAGGATTCATGGACATGTCTTTTTAGATGACCTTCTTTAATAAGGCATTATATTTACTTCGTTAGTTGATTGTAGTCATCTGTGTGGTGGCCTTTTACTTTGTGGTACTTATACCATTTGTTGGACTCGTTTTTCATAACCTCTCACTTTGATGTTTGAGGAGGCAGGATAACATTTGTGTAGAGTAATTCATGCCAAATTTGCTCTCTCCTGGTATTGAGTGGCATGTAGTTATCTATTGGTTTCTCGTCATGTTTGAAGATCACCAGATCACTGACATATGATGTGTAATGGATAACATACGTGTTTTTTTTTTGCATCTTTGGCCTTCTTCTCCATGTTGCTTTCTTCTCCCTTTACGCGGTACTCAGCATGCACCATAGTCTCTATCAAAAGTTAGCGGGCTTCAAGGTGAGATACTCATTGAAATGCCTGATTTTCATTCAATTCTAGAAAGCTTCCACAAAAATTTCTTGGATGGGGTGGACCTCCTTGATTGTCTCCTCTTTGAACCTAACCAAATATTCTCTCAAGGATTCAGAGTATCCTTGGAGGAAATTGAACAAACGGGTTGTTCAATCCCTATTGTACTACCTCACGGAGAATTGGTGAATCAATTTCCTTGAGAGATCTTTGTAGTTGTTTGTCGAGAACCTAGGTAGGTTTATATATCATCTCAACGATGCCTCGTCAAACGTCCCGATAGAAGCTTACACTTAAGTAAGTGAATGGTGCCTATTATCCCGATTTGAATGTTGATGGCAGTGATGTGCTCTTGCAAGTCTTGTATGGAAAGTTACCGGTGACGACGTCTTGAAATTCTTTAGCACATATGCTTCCTAGATTTCATTAGAGAAGGGTTAGGGATCTAGAATTTTCGTACCCTCTAATGGATCTACCTCATGTAATTATTGTCAAATATGCAAAATATTGTCTTGAAGAGTTTCTTTGTAGCGACATAACTTTTTCGTAGCGGCTTGCATTTTCTACATGACTCTTTAGTCGCGATTGCTGCTACTAGAAGTGCCATGTCTCACCATTGTGGAATGGTTATTAGAGAAACAAATGTTTTAGATGAGAGTCTGGTCTGAATTAGTTTTTTTTGGGATTCACTGTGGACGTCGATTGTACTTCAAATGAGTACAATAGGGGTTACCATACTTGCGATGAGGTGCACAAGAGGGCTTTATGTGTTCTGGTATGTAAGAGTGAATGAGTTAATTAACTGTCTAGATATGGTATTTGTAGTCTCAGTTAATTAACTGTCTATACACACCTAAGTTTGACCTGACAAAAGGGTGAGTGAGTGAATCATCCCTTATAATAGAAAAGTGTGGTTAACCTATAATGAGACTTGGATTTCCTCTTAATTCGGCTACACACACCTAAATTTCCTAACACATGACTTGGCATGTTTCCCATTAGCTATGACTGAGGAGTATTGGGTCGAGCTAGATCATATGATCACCTTCTAACTCCACCTTTTGCACAAAAGTATCATTTGTGTTATGTAGTGTCTATAAAATTGATAAGTCGGGTTCTTTGAAGCTAAATCGAATTATTTCAATCCAAAACATATAATTATGAGAAAGACAATATGACAACTACTATATATCTATATATTCGTTCTCCTGCAAATGAAATACCTTTTAACAAATGTGATTCTTAAAAAAACTAGCAAAGAAAAGTATCATAATAATATCATATTTGTCTAAGAGTTAGAAAATCTTATTCATATATAAAATCTCTTATTTTAATTTTTTATATTAAATTTTTTTTTTTTAGTTAGGTTTATACTCCACAACATTTTGTTTTTTTTTAATTAAAAACTTTTAGTTTTAGAACAAAAAGATGTAAAAAATCATCCATTAATGTACATATTTTTTTATAAATTTTTTATTTATCTATGATGTTAAAAAAGATTACCCATCAATTGCAAGAGACAATTTTATAAACATTAAGTCGAAGTTTACATAAAATAAAATAAAATAAATTTTTTATTTAAAATCTCTTAAAGGTGAAGTATCACTAGTACACATTTTACTTATAATAATACTAATTTAATAGTGCATTTAAGTAAAGCGCTATTAAGAAGTTCATTGAGAGACTTATGATAGTACTTTATTGTTGGACGCTATTAAAAGATATGTTCTAGATTTTTGACAAAATAAAAAAATTATAGAGGATTTTAATAGCGCTTTTAGAATAAACATTATTGTAAACATTATTATTAATACCCTTTTGTTAACGTTTTTTATTAACCCTATTGTTAGCTACCAGTAGAAGTTGTTGCATGAAGACATGACAATAATGAGATTTTAAGTCAACTAATTTGAGATCATTTATTGACACAAGTTTCTTCATATTTGATGAGTATCCTTGGGGAATTTTGATACCCTACAAACAATCGAAAAAAATTTTTTAGACAGAGTGTGACATGTTATGGAGTAAATATGTTTTACTTCCTATATTTTTGGGGCTAACTCTTGTCGTATACCTATCACCATCATATCTTACGAGATTTCTTAGTATCTTTTGTTTTGCCTTTAACGTTTAGAAGTGTTCCAATCAAACTATCACATACATTTTTCTCCACATCCATCACATCAAGATAATGTCTTACATCGAGGCTAGAACAATATGGAAGATTAAAGAACACCGACCTTTTTTTTCAAATATTTTTCTCCATAATCCCTTTTCGTTTCTTTCCAAAGACATCATTGATGCATTGTTGTCTTTTATAAAATGCCTTCCCGATTAAGGGTTCAGGAGTGATACCAAACTCCTATTTTTCATTAAAAGTCTTCCACAATCTACGATATGGATGATTAG